GGGTATAGAGAAACGTTTGATGAACATGTGAATTTTGCAAACAACAAAATAAGATTACAACCAACAAAGTACGAAGGTGAGAGAACATTGCTTACAATTTGATGAATGTGTGATTGATGCTTGGCACTAAACTTAGTGAGAGAACTCTCTTTTGAATCATGCTTAAACTCAAAGGAAAAAAGACAAAATAATTGAGAAGATTGAAAAAACAGTAATAAAAAGGAAGAGAATAGAAGTGAGTGATTAAACATGCTTAAACCTGAATAAGAGATAATATGCTTAATTATAGAGTAGAGAGAAGTTAATATAAGGTTTTATTTTTCATTTTATGTTCGGCATAAGTTGCAACTCATCAGTTGTAGAAGGGATGTTGAATTAGCTTAATTATCTTTATTATACCAATTAAAATTTATTGAATCATGATATTTATGGTATTTTTTTTACCATGTATCTCTTATAATATAGATTTTATGTGAGTTTTTTTCATTTTTCTAACAGAATTTTATGTGAGATGGAAGATGATTACTTTTTATTAGATTTATTTTAGGGAATGACGAGCTATCATTGCATGGTATTTATATCCTGTTTAAAAGGTGTAGATTTTTGTTTTAGGACAGATTGTGGATTTTTTTTTGTAACGCCTCAAAAAATTTTTTTTTTTTGTAACACCCCAAAAAAATATACACAATAGAAGTACACCAACTATCGCTCCTTACGATAAACCGAAATAATCTCCAACACTTGCATATATAATCATAAGAGATTTACAAAATAGTTCTACATGCAACTACACATTCAACAACTTTAGTACATGAATCTATAGCATGTAAAACATCCAATCATAAGTAAATAAATGCCCTCAAGGGCTACAAAGTCCAAGGCTTAAGCCCGGTTACACAAAATGGTTGCTCGAAACCATACAAATATAGCTCTTGGCTTGCAAATATAATCACAACAAAACAAGAGCCTTGTGCTCTCAACATACACATCTACGCCCTTAGTTTGGTGGAATCACCACATCTTTTCCTGCACAAAATCCCATTGGGTGAGCAGCAAGCCCAATAGGAACTTCTTAACAAAGTATATATATTTTATACAAGTTTTATGAATTGAAATGCACATACCATGCTATGCTTTTTAAAAAAAAAAGTCGCATCTTCATCTTTTGAAAGCTATCATGCACAATGAAATCTTGAAATTTCAACAATTCAATAATCTTAAATCAAGTTCAAGAGGCGGTAAATACAACTCAGGTAATCCCTAAGTTGGTATCTGCAAGTAGGCATAACTAGCACTACCAAATCCCCACTTTACCAGTAGCTAACCGGAAGGCACGTGGTACCTCCTCCGCGCGTGTTTTCAGTCTTTCACTCTGGACACTCAGGCCAACTTAATCAATTTCATCTACACCCCCTATCTGGACTTACCAACGTATTTATCCCAGAACAACTAAATGAAAATCTTATTTCACAAACATTTCCCTTTTCAATGCAAAATTTTCAATTTTTAATTCAAAACTCGTAATAACCAAACGAATTGAATGCCAACGCAACATATATCAATGCATTATAATATTCTTCCACACAATTTTTCCATTGCGATCACAATTCTAATTTCTCTTTCCAGTGCAATTTCACAAGATAAACATATACTCATCAATCTCTATCGAGAATCAACAACATTTCCACATTTCATTTATTTTCATCAACTTTATCATTTCATGACTATATCAACATTTTGAACAACGACTTCAAAACCAACTAATTCTCATGCACCATGGAATTTCTCATTTCAACATTTGTCATACTATTCGTCAAATATCAATTTCATAACATCACCATATTTTCTCAAAAATCCCCAAGTTTTTAGGGTTTCCATAAACTAGGTTTCCTCCTCATTTTGAAAGAAATCATTTCAAGATGACACTTCTCTACAACAACAAAGCTCCAAAATCTCAAGGGTTTTTAGAAAACATTATGGAAACCCATTTTTAAAATCACCCACAACTCATAAATCAAAAACTGAGTTTAACACCACAAGAAGGAGTCCCAAAAACAACATAATTTGTAAAAATGTATATATAACTCAAAGAAAAATTCCTATCTCAAGTTCTTGAAGGAAAAAGAGAAGAAAGCCCCAAAATCAATAGTGTCGAAACTCGATCTCCACCGTACACAATATAGCCCTCGAAAAGTTCTCCAACTTTTGGTAGAGGAACTAGGGTCAAAATGTTAATGAATTTAGAGAAATCAAAGATTTGGTGAGGTTTGGTATAGGGAAAGTAGAGAGAAGGAGGAGAAATGTGTTTTTAGAGAGAGAGATGATGAAAAAGTGATATACACATAGCCCAAAAAGAAGAAAATGAGGAAATTTTCGAACTCAGCGGACTCCCACATGTGCACGCCTTTCCCCGCACGTGCAGCCTCCACCCCCGCAAGTGTGGCCCTCCCTTACCCACACCTGCAGTTTTACGTGCAATTATTTTAGTGTTGCACCCTAACCATCCCTACTTTCTGTGCTTGTAGCCTCACCTCCCGCACGTGCGGCCCAAGCCCCCACACGTGCGGCTTTGCCACCCAGGCAGAAATTTTACCAGCTAAACTGAAAACTCCCGGATCCAACCTCATCCCTCCCAAAACATGTGAAACTCGACACCAAAATAAATAAGCACGAGAATTTTGAGAAAAGTTTTCAAAAACAACAAAAGTAAACCCAACATAAATCAAAGAGGAATGAGGCGGTTTACGTACCCGGTCATCATCACATTTTTTTCCCTTTCATAAGTGTTGATGCAAGCTTTTGAATTACATTAAAATATTTTTGGATTTTGATTTTTAATGTCTAAGGATAGCCAATAGGTGTTTTTAAAATTCTATAAAAATCAAACAAATTAAAAAATTGAGTTTAAAAAATTGAGTTTAAAGTTTAAAGTTTAGACAAAAAATCACTTTAATTGATTAGTATGAAATTACTGAAATCACTCAAACACTTAAAATATAAGTTTCCATCTTAAATTTTGCTTAGAGCCTCCATAAAATCAAGACAGCACCACAACCTTGGATGATGAAGAGCACTCCCTTCTGCTTAATGGCAAATGGCTTCTTCAAGCCATATCAATAAATCCATGGGAGGAGATTGTCCTTGTTAGTTTAGTACACCAAGTTCTCATTTGTAGTGGTTTGTTGACAACAATTGGGTGTTGTTTGTGGTGGTTTTTGGAGGCATTCACGATCTTGGGATAATGGGTTTCTTGGGTTTGATATTTGTTGTAGTGATGGTGGTCAATAGTTGTTAGTTACAGGTCTTCAAAAAAATCGGTAGAATCGATATATCAATTCAATCTCGTCTAAATCATCGGTTTAGTTAAGTTGGTTCTGGTTTTGAAAATGGTGGAACCGTTTAAATCGGTACAGTTCCCGCTTCCAAGGCTTTGATTATGGTTCCGAACCGAATCAAACTGTAACATATTTATTTATTATTTTTTATATTTTTATATAAAAAATTTAAAATATGAAATGTTTCTTATAAGATTTGAAGACTAGCTATCATTGTGAAATTGATAAGCTTTAACCAACATAACTAAACTAATTATTAATAATTTATTTAGTAACATCAAATATATATCATATTTATTATTGCATAAAATTTTTAGAAACGTAAACCGAACCGAACCGAACCAAACAATAGAAGTGTACTAAACTAACAATAGAGGGGCCGGCAATGAGAGAGTGGTATGTTTGTGGTCTAAATTAATTAAATGTAAGTGGGACATCACCTAAGCCACATATGCAATTTTATCATTTTACATTATGTCGCGTATGGGTGTAGTGTTCTTAAATTTTCAATCTTTTTCACATGTGAACATATAATGAAAAGACATAACTTGTTATCTATTATAGTTAGATAACAACCTGTGAAGATAACTCTAATTATTTATTTATATTATAAATAAATATTTTTTTATTTTTTTATCAATTTATTATTTTATTTATTCATTTTGTTTTTCATTTTTCTTTTTATCAATTTTTGAAATCAGATTGAAGTTTCTAGGATTGTTATTTGGGCCATCATCATCTCCATCAGTTTCCAATCCATAGCAGCCCAAGGTACAGATCCAAAACTACAAGAACCTTCTTTGTTTCATTATAAAAATTTTTGGAAAATAAAAGGAATAAATAGTCCTCTTGCAATAATAATTATTGTTTGTATTGTTTTAATTTTAGTTGTAGTTTTTTTTATTATTTGGTTAAGACGTGTGCATGCAGCTGGTTTAGGATTAGCACCACCAGTTATTGCACAAGGACTTGATCCACAAACAGTGGAGTCATTTCCTATGCTTACCTTTCCTATTGATGGAGAGGTTGGTTTTGATATCACTGACTGTCACATATGCTTGGAGGAGTTCCTCCAAGGAGACAATGTACGAGTGCTTCCTGCTTGTAGGCATATTTATCATAGTGATTGTATCCAGACTTGGCTAACTAGAAATACTCAATGCCCTGACTGCCGTTATAACTATGCAACATAGGAATTCGAAAACATGCCACCTAATTTACCTTAAGTTGTGCTTCTTACTCAAGGTAAATCATAGGGCATCTTTCCAATTACTATGTTGAATAGTTATAACAATAGTCAAGACAACGAGAGTCTCTAGCAGTTAGCTAGGCTTGGATATATTCAATGTCCTAAATACGCTTGCAAATGAGAGCACTTATACACGTTCTCTGCTCCTAAACTCCTCCAAACATATATGATAGTCAATAGTTACAAAACCAAACCCTCAGATGATCAATAAGAAAGGTAAACATAAGAAATAACTTCATTATTCCTGTGCAATAACTAAGTAAAATACCACACACAACTATTGCTATAATAGGGCCAACTGCATGTACCTTCTTAGTAAGGTTATTGATGTAATTTCACTGTACTTGTACATTTTTATTAATCAATATATTTCCTTTTGGCTGATTAAAAAAAGGGCCAATTTGTTTCTTGTGTTGTTTGTTTACAATTGATGGGTGTTTTTATTATTTGCTTCATCAAAATAAAAATATACAGTGTATTCAATCCTTGCTTTAGAAATGTGCAATCAAAAATAAGAAACAAGCCTAGAACTTTGTTTTTCAAAAATCTGAAAGAGGGCCCAAATTCTATAACAAAATTGTGATGCATTAAAAATTACATTCCCATCTATTAGTGCAAAATGCATCAGTGATGTCACCACTGCCCGATTTCCGCCATCATCATGGAAGATCAGAGATAGACTAGTACCCTAACAAAGATTCATTCAAATGTTTCCTGCACCAGTAAATAAAATTTTAAAATTAAAATAAAAACATAGTAACAATCGCATAATAGTCACGATTATTACAATAGACAGAAACAAGGATAGGATCTGTAGATAAGGCAGTATCAAAAAGGAGAATCAAATAACTAATACTTGCAATACACCTAAACATGTAAGGATCCATAAAACATAATACATATAGATTTGATGGTCCAATTGAATAGAAGCAGCAAATATATATGATAGCCTAACCTCTCTGTAAGGTGGCATTTTTTGCTCAAAATAATACTGATATGGAGTTTCCAATTAGGTTTATTTCTCAGGTTATTCAATGTGTGTCCACAGTTAGTTATTCCATTGTGTTGAATGGAGAATTGGAAGGTTATTTCAAGGGAGAAAAAGGTTTAAGACAAAGGGATCCAATTTCCCCTTACCCTTTTCTTTTAGTTATGTGCTGTTCTTAAGTATAATTTGACTCACGGTCAGTTTCCTTTCCATCCTAAGTGCCAATCTTTGGGTATCAGTCACTTAGCCTTTGCCGATGATCTTTTTGTTCTGTGTGGGGCTGATATTCAGTTATTCAGAATTATAAATGACATTTTACATCAGTTCCATTTATGGTCTAGACTTCAACCTAATCTACAGAAGAGTGCTGTCTTCTTTGCTGAATTTCTTCTGTTTTAAAAACTGATTTACTGACTGTTCTTCCAATTCCTGAGGGTCTATTAACTGTCAAGTACTTGGGTGTGCCTCTTATTTCCACAAGATTGAGGTATGGGGATTGTCTTCAACTGAAGGACAGAATACGCTCTAGGATTCAGTTGTGAGCAAATAAGCTATTGTCATATGGGGGAAGCATGCAACTTATTCAAATAGTATTGTTTAGTGTATAGATCTATCGGAGTTCCCTTTTTATTTTACCTCAAAGAACTCTAAAGGAGGTGGAAAGTTTGATTAGAGCCTTTTTATGGTCTGGTTCTGAGCCTAAGCAAACAGGGGCCAAAGTTAAGTGGGAGAGTATTTGTGTTCCTAAACAAGGAGGAGGGTTAGGTTTTAGATCGCTGAAAATTTGGAATAAGTCAATATGATTAAACACCTTTGGGATATAAGTATGAAGGCTGATTCACTTTGAGTTGAATGGATACATACCTATATTTTAAAGGATCAATGCTTTTGGTTTATTGATGTCCAAATGATTCCTCATGGACTATAAGGAAGATATTCAACCTTTAGAGAGATTGGGCAGCCTCTTATTCATTACAGAATAGGGGATGGCAGTCCCACCTTCTCATGGCTTGATAACTGGCATCCCGTGGCGCCTCTTTATCAATATTTTGGAAGTAGAATTGTGCAGAATATTGGTAGAGCTCTTTATGTGAATGTAAGATGCTGGCATTGGCCTAGATTAAGAATTAGAGCAATTCGGCAAGTTATTGCTTTAACACCTCATACCCTTATTCCTAATCTGCACAGATCTGATAAAGCTGTTTGGTTACCTTCAAAGAGGGGTAGCTACTCCTCTAAATCTGCTTGGGGAGCTCTGAGGCCATGTAGAGCAGTGGTCCCATGGTGTTCTATTGTTTGGTTTAAAGGAAATGTGTCTAAATGGGCTTTTGTGCATTGGCCGATTTGTTTACAAAAATTAGCTACCAATCTCGTGTCCTTTTACTGGGAAATACTATGTTCAAACTTTCCTTGGCTTGCACTTTATATCATGTATGATTGGAGAGGAACAGGAGAATTTTACTCAGTCTGTTAGTCACAAGCAAGTGATAGTGGCTGGAATAGCTAAGGAAGTTAGAGCTAGAGCTTGTTCTTTCAAGAGAGTTAAGAATTCTTTACAAAACTGGCAAATCTGTATGGACAGGGGGCTGCCTTGTTCCATTCTACATACCTGATAAATAAATTTTCTAGCTTTTTTTTGTTTTGTTGTTTTGTTTTGGTGTTGATCTGCGTTTTTTTGTTTCTAGTGTGCAGGGGTAGGTCCTTGTTTCTTGTTTTCTTTGTGTTTTGTGTGGAATAAAATTTGAAGTCACCAAAAAAAAAAATTACCTAACCTCTCTGATATGAAAAAACTACTAATTCTACTAACCCAATTCAATAAATATACAACTTTCAATAATGAACAATCCAAACCCTAGGATTTGGATCCGTAAAAAAATCTGAAGGTACCTGGTATAGAAACTTAAAAAATTGTGCAGCATCCCAAAATTTCGTTGTTCCTATATGTCCTAGGTTGAAAGAAGGCTTTCAATCTCCAATCTTTATATTTATGATCAAAGTTTCCAATTATTCCTCGTCATTACTTTAGGATATGACGTTCTAGGTTAACTATGCTTGTCTGATGTGATCGGCTCACATATTCACCTTTCTACTTGTTGCTTATGAATTTAACCTTTATGTTAAGCTATGGAGCATCATAACCGTGATTAGCCTATTGATATTGCATATACTTGAGGTAAAGATGGGCTATGTTACATGAACACTAGAAATTAAATAAGGTTCCAGCAAGAGAATTCATGATACCTAGACAGTTACTCCAAAAAAATGACTGCAAAAACAAGCCTTTGGAGAATTTAGATTTTGGACATCCAGAGGCCTTCATCTACATAGTTAGGATTACTCACCCTATCTATGTGACTAATATACATATAGCCTATAGGTGTCCAAATCAAGAAGGGAAATATATTATTGAACTAAACTGATAATAGATAAATATGAAACATGAAGTAATGTTCTTGAGTTACTACTTTTAAACTAGCAAACAGTAAGAACCCCATGATCAGTACCGATTCTACTTTTAAACTATAATTCTACCAACTAAGCCTTATGCAATTATACAGAAGATATTAGTATCAATATTAGTAAATAAATAGCCACGTAGACAGATAAGCAAACTTACTACAAAAAAGAGTCCCTCCGACATTGAGTTTGTCCTCTATCTACTTCTTCTTCCTCTGATATTTGAACCTGCATTTGACAAGAACAAATAACATGAATAAAATACCATATTGAAAATTCCATGATTAACTATTTACTCACTTCCTCGGATGAATGATGGCAATTAAACGACGAGGTATGCATGGGATTGTTGTTGTGAATGCACATGTGTAGTAGTTGGTGCAACAGGCCCACCCATGGTCGGTTGAGACTCCAACTACTCTATTCGTGCTTGTTGAGCTTGGATTGTACCTTGCATCTGACTAAACATAGCATCCATCATCTCCTTCACTTGCATTTCCATTTGTACTTTATGTTGGTTAAGTTGCTCTTGGACTTGTGTCTAGATGAGATGAGCCTGCTCTTGTAATTGCCTAAATCCACCTCCAAAGACATTTGTCAGAGAAGGACCCAATCCATTTGTTCGAACACGACCAGGTCGATCAAGCCCTAGAACCTGTTTGAAGATCTCCTCATCTGTAGCACTGGATTGTGCTCCGAGCTCCTTCATTTGTGTCTGTAATTGTTAGTAAGTGCCACCAATAAAATTTATATTAACAAAACTAATAAGAGTATCAAGTCTATGCATCCAAGTGTGTGTCCAAGTGTCATGAAAACACAACAATCACAACTGAAGCACCAGCAGAAAACACAGCTGCAGCACCAGCTGCTAAAGCCCAAGCAACTCATCCAAGGGCTGCAGCCACAGTACAAGTGTATGCCTCTAATAAAAATCATCTAAACCAATGCACTAGGAAAATGAATGATCAGAAATAACACTATGCCAAGAAAGACACATCAATAGGCAAATAGAGACAATCTTGGGACTCTCTCTCTCTCTGGTGGAGAAGGGGAGGTATCATCCCTCCTGTTTGGCTGTTGAATTTTGTGTCAAGTTTTATCTCCACCCTACAGTCAATCTTAAGCTTAGTAGTTGAATAATGCTATACAAATTATATATATATCTAATTAGTTCAAACTAGCATCTTCTTTTGAGCCATTTTCAGTTAAATTGCTATTGTGTCATTAACTTAGAACCCCCCCCCCCCAAAAAAAATAAGAAAAAAAAATGGTGTCTTTGAACGAGCAAAAAAAGAAAAAGATGGTGTCTTTTATAGCCTTCTATCCAACTTCTCTCAACCGATAATAAAAAAAAAAGGACTTGACGCGCTGGATGGCAGAACCCTCAGGAAAATTTTCAGTTCGATCCCTTTATTCCCTAGCTGAATTGAATGGTGGTCAAGTGTTTCTCTCTTTAAAGTCCAATATTTTGGATGGCTAGCGTGGCTTTGAAGAGTTAATGGCTCCTAAGGATTGGTGTCTCTATAGCTTCTAATTCTGGGTTATGTCTTTTCTGTAATGATAAGCCTAAAACATCAAACCGTTCCCTAATTGATTGCCATGCTGTTTGGAAAGTTTGGGCATCTATCCTAAGATGATGGGGTTTCATGGGTGGCTCCTATCTCAATTAAGTCACTGAGTGATTGGTGGAGAGGATGGAAAAATTAAGGCAAAAGGTTGTTTGCACTATAACAAAATTGAATTTTTACGGCTTGCAATGCATGCCGTACAAGTCTTTCACGGCATGCACACAAATATTGTTATATGACATGCCGTGAAAAGTTGAGTGTCATTTACGATATGCAAGTAAAGTTGTAAAAAGTACTAAATTAAACATTAATGACATACTTTGTATGTCATATATAATGTTTTACGACATTTTTGCCATGTCATAAATCATCATACTTTCCATGACATAATTTTGCATGCCATAGAAGATTAGTTTTAATATATTTATGGCATACTATGTATGCCGTATATAATCTTTTACGACATTTTCTTGTATGTCATAAATCATTACACTTTTCACGACATAATTTTGTATGTTGTAAAAGGTTATTTTTAGTATATTTCTAGCATACTTTGTATGCCATATATAATCTTTTACAACATTTTCTTGCATGTCATAAATTATTACACTTTTCACAGCATAATTTTGTATGTCGTAAAAAGTTATTTTTAATATATATATATATATAGAGAGAGAGAGAGAGAGAGAAGAAAAGCAAATTCAAAGTTCATTACATGAGTAAACTCAATATCTGAACACATGATATCACTAAAATGCCCACTTTAGTACTTGAAAAACAAATTACAAGATCAGATAGCAAATTATATGTACAAATGAAAGCAAAAAGATTATACACAACACAAGCCAGTCAAGTCTAATTCATTATTAGGAGCAGTAGAGCGAGCTAAAGAATCAATTAACTTGGCCAATACAGAAAGGCCCTACCCCAATACCAATTGTAAGGATTCGAAGAGCAAATGTTGCAGCAGCAGCAACAAGTGCAAGCACACATTCCAGAACAACAAAAAAGCACCCAGCTTCCTGCAAAGCCATGGCAAACTCAACAACCTGCAGAAAAATAAATCCATCTTAAGAGGAAATCTCTTCTTCAAAGCTTGCAAACTCATGAATTTTTTTTGGAAAATATATAATAGTGGTAGGGTCATAACAGTTTTATGCACCCTGCATCACTCAGCAAATTCAAAATTGACAAAAGCTACCCAAAATTGGGAAAAAAATGAAGAAAGAATATAACAAGAAAAGAAAATGAAAAAAGACAATGTATACCCAAATTGACATGGACATCATTATCCACTTTAACATAGAAATCAGCATCCCATTTTGCAACAGCAGTGGAGGAGAAAATTTTGGTTTTTGCAGACAATTCATGATACCCTTCAACGTGCTCCTGCAAGACAACATGACTCATGAGCACCAAGATTGAGAAAAAAATTTGTGAATTGTCCACAACATTTTTTGTACATACAAGCTCTGTGCATCCTTACCAGCCTGAGGAAGTCCTTATGCTGAGAATCTTCTGAATCAATAGCTCGATCTAGTATGCTGTTAGATGTTGCACTGCACCAATCAAAACAATTGGCGTTCAGCATAATTCTCAATTATACACACAGGTGCCCTATATGATTCAAATATATTGTAGCAAGAGCAAAAGGTATGTATCCTCCATTTAGTAATATTATCCTTTTCGAATGAATCTGCGTTGGTTTGAGTTAGGACCTGCTTTTTCTAAACCCCAAATTAAAAGACCTCTATTTCTCAAATGAATTAGACTATTTGAAATCTAGAAAACAAATAATTTTGGGGTATTAATGGTTAGATTGAAAACCAATACGTAGGAGAAAGGGTTAAGGTTAATTTAAACTTAGTTTGGTAGGCTTTTGGGGCTAAAATGTGCAATTTGAGGGCATTATGAACAATAAGCTGCAAATAGCACTTGGGGTAATTCAAACAGAGGAGGAGAAGAAGGGGGGAAGAAGTGTCTCACCCTCGTCACAAGGTTTAGGAAAATTCATACAACCACAACCTCAAATCCTCATAACTCAACTCTCCACTAAAAACTGAAGATTATTTGCAAATCCATAGGATGCTACATTCTCCAAATTCTACAAAAAACAATGACTTCAAAATTTGGAAATTAAAATTTTTTAACCAACTAAAATATTTTAGAACTAATAACGACTCTATAAAAGATCTAATAACATTATTTAAAGCATGGTAGTAAGACAATAGTAGTCTATTATTCACACATTGAAGCTTTCATTGTCTAAAAAGAATATATTGGTCCCAACTGTGTCCTTTTCTCGTAGTAGTTACTCAGAAAGTCACATGATCAATTATGTTCAATAATCAAAGTTTCTATAGGGCATGATCATGCATGAATTATTTCAATCAATGTATCACCCATTAAGCTACTCTTATATTTTTATAGAAGTACCCATGTTGATTCTAGTCTTTCCAATTTTTTATGCTCATTCAATCAAATATCCTCATAAATACCTTTCACTCTTTTCCATTTTTTATTCTCCTTCGGCTACAACTCATTTCATTATATCTCATCTAACACCAATGTTTCTTGGCTTTCTAGCATTTGCTCTATGGCATTTAGGTCATTCTGTCACTATTCAACATAAATTTTCTTGTTTTCTGGTAAGTATAAATTCTTTTTAAATTTGCTGCTTTTATCATTATTAAAGCACTTAAGGTGAAAATCAAACTTTAACTGTCCACCTCATACCCTTGAGAAAATCCCCTTCAACTACTGTCTTCTTACACATGATTATGCAAAGGCTCCTAAGACAATAATTTACAGCATCTACATATCAGTTAAGAAAAAGATGCGGAACACAATCAGAAGAGAGGAGACAACTTTAGAATTTTAAAAGAAGCAACCCTTGGAACCTTGTTTGGTCAAGTATGTTTTAATTAATTTTCATGGACTATAATTTACAGCATCTACATGCGACAAAATAATTGCTGTCTAAAAATTTTATTACACTTTTAAGTTTCTACAGCTTATAATTCTAAAAATCAAGTTAATTCCAACTCGTTTCTGTCTACAAAAACCTCCAAACTTTCCCTAACCTTAAATCCTAGAACTACAAGTTCACCATATTCAAACCAACCGTGATTTCAACCATATGGAGCAGCGATCAAAATTTCCTTCCCAGTGCAGCTTTACATAAATTTGACATCAAAGTCCACGGGAGAGTGCCTCTTGTACTTGTCCACCAACACCAACGTGGAATGCAGATCAATTAAGATTTAGTTCACCTGACCAATTGATTCATTGGCCAAATAGTTCTGCAGTTCTTAGATATACAAACAAACATCTTCATGGTAATTTAGTTTGTCTTTTTCTAGTCTCATCAAAGAACATCACAGCACATAAAAGTAAATTACCCTGCAGCATGTCGTAAAGATTATTTGTGCTTGTGCTATGACTATGGTTGTTGACCACCAATGGAATGGAAATACAGTAAACAAAGAATAATCTAAAACTTGTTCATTCTCATAACAAGTGAACATCTCAAAACTTCCTGGATATTCTATTTTAATTTTTAAAGGCAATTCATGTGATAATGATACAGTTATTTGTTTAACAATGTCTATTGTTACACAAGCAGGAGCTGACTTTTGACAAATCTATATCAAGGAAAAGCAATGGATCCAACTTCAAAAAATTAATAATGAGATCATATTGCCCGAAGAATTCCTATTGTTTTCAAATAATACTAAACTAACCAACTTGTGAGAAAAAGCAGACGAGATTTACCTATGGCCAATCATGAACCGCATGATAATTCCCTTCTCTTGTTCCAATTGAAGAAGTCTCTCGCCTAATCAAACCCAAAAAGCTAAGAAGTCTCTCGCCTAATCAAACCCAAAAAGCTAGTCAAGGAAAGCCATGAAATGAAGATATAGTAGGACATACACACAAAGACAATATCAAATTATCACCCTGAGGCATCCAAGTTTGTCTAACCGAATCACACCTCTTCCTACTACTAAAAGCAGAATTAATTCCAATAACTATGAAAGCCTTCTTCCTTGGCAAGCCCTCATGAGTCAATTCAGAGATGTGAGTGAACTCATCAGATCTCCTCATCTCTTGAGAACTTTGAGTAACAGCCAGCTCCATCTGAAGCATTGAAATCGACTTGTCTAGTGATCTGCCAGACCTCTGAAAAAACCGAATTATCAATGCAAGCTTCAATTGATCCAGTAAACACACACAAGAAAAAATACGAAGTATGACGAGTTTCAAACTCACTGAATTGTTCGATACAGAGGAGCATGTAGAGATCAATTAGGGTTTGAGATCAATTGATTGAGAATGCATTTGGCTTTTTAGTCTACATTTCCATGGCTCTCACCAAACCCTAACTTCAAATAAAATGATGAATTCGAAGCTTTTGGGAAAAAATGATAGAGAGACAGAGAAAAATTGATCAATTGGGAGAGAAAGTGAATGACATACATTGTGAGGTCATGCGAAGTTGCGCAATCGACCAAGGCAATGCTTCAAGAGAGCTCGAGAGCTCGCACGCAGAGAGAGAGAGAGAGAGAGAGAGAGAGCGAGGGTTTGGGGCAAAAACATGTACAGATAGAATGAAAGGAGTCTGTGAGAGTGGTGAACAGGGCTAAAATAATGTTTTTGAGTTTTTTTTTTTTTTTTTTTTTTTAAGTTTCTAAATATTTTAAATAATTTTTTTTTACTTTTTAAGTTCAAATAATATACATATATTTAAAAGAAAAATATTTTTAAATTTTTTAAAAAAATACTCAATTCAACAAAATATAAAATTTAATGCATTTCATATATATTATATTTTTTTACAAATATTTTACTTTTTAGTTGTATTCAAATTAGGCACATCTAAAAAGTAAAAATAAATAAATTATTAAAAGAAGGGAAAATATCAAATCAAGGTAATTTTTTTTTAAAAAAATAACAATTACAAATTAGTGAGAAGCCATAGAAATATTAATCATTTATAAACTTTTTCATGAATAAGTAATTTTTTTTCCAAAATCCCACTGGGTGCAATTATCCCATAAAAGAGACCCTAAATTATAAAATAATGTATAAATCATTTTTTACGTTGTCCTCAATTAGGAAAATCTAAAGTGAGAATCTTGGTTGGAAATTGTTAGCTTTTTTAAATCAAAAAAAAGAAAAACAAAATTGGATTGAAATTTTTTTTAATAAAAGCTTTTACGACATGCTAATGCATGCCATGTAAAGTTATAATATTTCACAACATGAATTGTATGTTGTCTTAAGTGCAAATATTTTACATCATATTTTTGTATGTCATGAAAATATGCATTTTTTAAGGCATGCTTTTGCATGCCATAAAAAAAATTCGAATTGAATTTTTTTTTTTTTTTGGCAAAAGTTTTCACGACATGTTAATGCTTGCCGAGTAAAGTTATAATATTTTACAACATAAAATGTATGTCGTTTTAAGTGCAAATATTTTACAACATATTTTTTAAGTCGTGAAAATATACATTTTTTACGACATACTTTTATATGCCATAAATATATGAATTAACGACTTACATGGTATGTATGTCGTTATTGAAAAACCACTAACGGCTTGCAAAAAAAAATGTCATAGAATGTACTAATCACGATATGCATTTAATGCGACAAAGTTGAAGCCGTAAATAGTTAGTTTTGTTGTAGTGTTACATGGTTCAAAAACTTATAGATCACAAAACCAAATAAAATAAAAAGTTGCATCCTTCAAAGAAAACATGCATTGTTCCAGAAAATTTGAATGGGAGACAAAAAGAGTATAGAAGAAAAGTAGATAGATGCATCAAATTCTTAAATACACAAAACATGAATTTTGGTTTTTGTTTTACCACCAAAACTACATCCCAAGAATCCACCTTTGGCACACTGATTCTAAGAGCTAGAAGAAGGAAAACTCCCACTTCCAATCCAGTCCAAAAAAATGCCTATAATGTATTAGTGACCATCTTGTTATTGTCGCAAAAAAACAAAAAACAAAAAAAAACACATGAAAGTGTGCGTTAAGTACTCTGGGAATAGCCATGGCCAAACCAATATCCATTAAGCACCAACAAGAAACAAAACAATGTAACGTACTAAAACCCATGGAGGAGCTTTCCAAATCATAGAAGTGCCACTAAATCAGGAATCTTACGAGTAACATGAACATTGTAATGACCATTAGTCCAAAAAGAAACTAGTACGGATGTGAAAAGTTGGGCAACAAAACACATTAGATTATATTTTGTAGCAAGATTCCAATACGTGGAAGTTATACATAAACAAGAAACCTTGAAACAAAAGAGGTGGGAAAGTTGGAAAGTGATGTTATTCTAAAATAGCCAGCATTATGTATAATATATATTGGCTCAAGAATCATCTGATACGGTATACAAATTATCAATTGTGAATTTCTTCAATAATGAAGAAACAAAGAAATAATAGAATAAATTTCTAACCTTTACTTCGCGGTAGTGTACAAGAACAATGTTCGAGCGCTCCCTGCAGCAGGTGTCAACCAAATAAGAAGCAAATGAGAATGTGCAGCAAAAGCCCTTCCAAAATAACAACTAAGGAAACAAAAATGGTCAGATTTTCATTAACTTCCATAAATTGATTCAATTTTCAAGGTGTAGTCAATTTCATGGAAGTTCATACAAGTTAACATGAGTTTACAACTATAGACATGGCTGTAATTCCAAACATTAAAATGATTAGTATGACAAAGAAAAGGGGTGAAACTTTAAACCATATTTCATCTTTTTTCCCTCACAGAAAAAGGTAATGGGACTTCCAAAGCAGCAAAACTGTTCCAGAAGCAGATATAACTAACGAACCAGATTCTACTCAGCGATTGATGTTTATTCAATGCTAAATAGTATCAGAGGACTGGACTTATGCCTGTACATGCACAAGAAGCTGCAAGTAGGCATTTACATTCAATCAACTTTTATACGCTAATACTAATTAACAGATAAACTTCATATTAAAAGCAATTGCCCAGAGGTGGTCCATAATACAGACAGATTTATATATATGTATATATATATATAGAGAGAGAGAGAGAGAGAGAAAGCAAAGTGCAAAGATTTGACAAAATAAACACAAACTTCGACAAAAGCAAGGCAAACTTTTAGACACTCACTCTTCAAGCAACCAATAGCTTCGCCTTTGGAAATTTTCATTTTCTTCTCCATGGGCATAGTAGCAGTGCAGCACATCAACACTCCCCGCCTGAAAGGACATTATACAAGCAAATTACTTTGGAAGTGTAATAAAAATATACAGCATGAACTATTCATTATATCATATAGTGCAAAATTCCTAAAAGTCACAAACTTCGGTCTGGTGTAGACAAAATCAACTTAAAAAATAAAAATTGCCTTCAACAAGCATCATCCTTTCGCACAAACCTTGAGCCTCTCATGAGCTTCCTTCACTGTCTTTCCATCTTTCTTCTTCCTCCAATTATGGCCATCTTTTCCGAAGTATCTCAGCACCTTCCGATTAAAAAGAAAAAGTGAACCACCTAAAAAGGGACATGCACGTCAAGCCAAGATACTTTGAAGATATGAGAAAATGCCCTCTTCTATCCAACAAAATTTGATGGGAAAATGCCCTAAATGAAGATGATGACACATTTAGATCACAAACATGACAGCAACAAATGCACCTACAGCTTCAAACCATGTTATTATCTATGAGTTAAACATAAGCTGCGTGCTACTCCTAACTATCTAGAATTATCAATTACAAAGAGGAAATAACCAAGGCAGCTAATTTAAAACTAAAAGGCACTTGTAGTGAGGATAAAAGGCAGGACTAGAAGAACCAAGACAGACAAAAATATTTGAAATGACAAATAAGCATCAATGCCATCTGCAGAAAATAATGCAATTCCATTTTCCAAGCCACAAGTTGTGTGGAGAATGATGTCCTAAGCAGAATATAAACCATAGTTATCAGAATCCCGATCCGGATCTTACGATCCTACGATCTTACGATCCATTTGAGTACAATCGATCCGGATCGTGTAAAAATCTCCTTATAGGTAGGATCTTTCGATCCTGGTAGTGGGATCTTATAGGATCGTGGAATCCCGATCCGAATCCGATCCAATTTACAAGCCTTGTTTTGTATTGTATGACATATTTTATTGTAAATTTTATATTTGTTGTCTAAATACCAATTTATGTGGTCAAAATAAATAATAAAAATTAAGTAGTATTGAATCAAATAGATTAAGAACAACAAACTAGGAAACAAACATTCAAATATTGCAGTAATTTAAGAAAATTAAATAGTCGAAAAAACAAATTTAGCTTTAGCGGAGTCTAAGGAGGGTAAGATGATTGAAACTTTATCTCAATTTTTCGAGAAATTATTTTTGTAGCTCGAATCCGCTCCACCAGGGATGCTAACAACAAACCTTATCATTCGACTAAGCTACTCTTTTGAGTTCTCAATCTATTTTCATATCCAACTTTGTTAAATATTTTTTCTTCACTTTTTATGCATTATTGTAGATTGTAAAGTATTTTGTTATAGAATTCTTCTTCTTCAAATTCTTTTTTGATGAAATACAAAACGTTTAAGCGGAGTCTAAGGAGGGTAAGATGATTGAAACTTTATCCCAATTTTTCGAGAAATTATTTTTGTAGCTCGAATCCGCTCCACCAGGGATACTAACGACAAATCTTATCATTCGACTAAGCTACTCTTTTGAGTTCTCAATCTATTTTCATATCCAACTTTGTTAAATATTTTTTCTTCACTTTTTATGCATTATTGTAGATTGTAAAGTATTTTGTTATAGAATTCTTCTTCTTCAAATTCTTTTTTGATGAAATACAAAACGTTTACCGTTGAGTTTTCTATTGCATAATATTATATGTACATTTTATATAGAGTATTATATTTTTCACATTATCTTCACTTCTTTTTAATAGAATATAGGCTCATTTTGTGTATACTTTATAAGAAATATTTATTTAAATTAAATTATTATGTAATTTGTCTTTTTCGGTAGGATCTTACGATCCTCGATCCGATTCTACGATCCGATCCTATAAACACTTCCAACGATCCAACGTAGGATCCCGATTTTAACAACCTTGATATAAACTCCCAATTGATTTTAAAGGAAACAAAAATCGAAAATGAATTTCAACAACAATCAATGTTGAGGCGAAAATGAGATAACACTAAGTGCTAGTTGGATCTCAATATCTCATTGAATTTGAAAGAGGTTACAAATGGGAATTTCAATGATGCTGTCAGTCAGAACCAAAAGATAATTATATTTAGCAATAAAACATATAAAGGAACAAAGAGTGGAAGTTTAACATAAAGAGTTGGGAAAAATAAAAAGAAAAAGAAACAATAATGCAGACAAAAAGACCCAAGAACAAGGGCATGAACATAAAGAGATATAAATAGGCAATGCGGGATAGCTGTTAAATTGATAGAAGTGAAATAACAACTTGAAAAATGCAAGGGGCAAAAACTTTATCATCCTTGGCCTTTAGAATGTGTGCCAAAGGCAAATACAAGAAAAATATTTGAAAATAAGAGTTTAAAGATGTTAAATATAAAGAAATTACTGCTTCTCAAACTTCCCAGTTTTTCCCATACTGAACTTCTCCACTTTGAATTTCCGTGTAAATGATTGACTACCTACAGCATATGTTACAGAAGTGTTGAGGAAATAAATGGCATCACACAAGTTGCAATACAGATTTGATCTTGGGTGTTAAAAAAAAATGAAGGAAGAAGAAGAAGAAGAAGAAGAAGAAAACAAAAACAGAAACAAAAGAACTACAAACAACTTGACCAAAACAGAGTTTTATGCAAGAAGAAATTTTACCAACAGATCATTTTTAACACTCCAATCCATCTAAAAGATAATATGAAAATCACGAAAGAACTTTCCAATAAATTAAAGCAAAAAATGAAACTTCACAATTCATCAAACACTTTGGCCTTCAAAAATTCTGAGGTGGAAAAAAAAGTTAGGGTGGGTAGCACCTCAGCGAAATAAACAAAAATGGTTATTTGGTTAAAGTTCCTAAAGACACCTTAAGCAGATGTGCACCATTGTGTATCCATACCTGAACCGTGAAGGCATTAAAAGTAACAATTCAAGAAGAAATAAATAAATAAATAAAAAAACTACAAAAACAGAGATCATTTTTGCTAAATTTACAATCAGACCAATTGATAACCAGCTTTGATGATGAACTTCAAACAAATCCATCAATAAACACAACATATAAGCACATATTTATCCTGATTCGATCATATTCAAACAGTCCAAATTCATTTCCACAGCAAAGAATCGATCATATGCTTCAAAACTCATCAGATCTACCGATCACAAATCGATCAATGGAGACTAATATATACAAATATACGCATATACAGAGATTTGACTGTAACTTTGAAGAACCGAAGATAAGAAGAAGAAAAATATCTGACTTTTGATCAAAACCTACCTCAAAGGCCCGATCGATCAAGGCACTGCTCGAGAGCACGCACGCCGAGAGAGCGAGGGAGGGGGGGTTTGGGGGCAAAAACATGTATAGATAGAACGGGAGGGAGAGTGAGTAGTGAACGGGGCTTAAAATAATGTTTTTGAGTTTTTTTTTTTTTTTTTTAGTTATTGTAAGTTTCTAAATATTTTAAATAATTTTTTTTATTTTTAAATTCAAATAATTTATATATATATAGAAGGAAAATATTTTTTAAATTTTTTTAAAAAGCAGTAAATTAAAAAATATATATAATTTAATACATTTCATATGTATTATATTTTTTTATAAATATTTTTCTTTTTAGCTATATCAGATTAGGTACATTCAAAAAATAAATAAATTATTAAAAGAAGAGAAAATATCAAATTAAGGTAATTTTAAAAAAAATTACAAATTAGTGAGAAGCAATAAAAATATTAATAATTAAAATTACAAACTTTTTCATGAATATATAAATTTTTTTCTCAAAATTTCACTGGGTTCAATTATCCCTTAAAATAAGACACTAAATTATAAATTATTTTTTACATTGTCTTCAATTAGGAAAATTTAAGGTGAGAAGCTTGGCTGGAAATTGTTAGTTTTTTTAATCAAACAAAAAAAAAAAATCAGATTCAAATTTTTTTTAATTAAAGTTTTCACGACATGCTAATGCATGCCGTGTAAAGTTATAATATTTTATGACATGAAATGTATGTCGTCTTAAATGCAAAGATTTTACGACATATTTTTGTATGCTGTGAAAATATGCATTTTTTACGGCATGCTTTTGCATGTCATAAAACAAGTCGAGTTGAATTTTTTTTTTTTTTGTAGAAGTTTTCACGACATGTTAATGTATGCCATGTAAAGTTATAATATTTTACAACATGAAATGTATGTCGTCTTGAGTGCAAATATTTTATGACATATTTTTTAAGTCGCGAAAATATACATTTTTTACGGCATACTTTTGTACGCCATAAATATATGAATTAACGACTTACATGGTATATATGTCATTATTGAAAAACCATTAACGGCTTGCAAAAGAAAAAAAAAATATGTCGTAGAATGTACTAATTACGACGTACATTTAATGTATGCCGTAAAGTTGAAGCCGTAAATAGTTAGTTTTGTTGTAATTTAAGTAAACCTTAGGGGGTATGTTTGTAATTTACCCTTTTTTTATTACACTTATATCCCTTTGAAAATTACTGTTTTGGACTCCACCACTTACCGCCTGCCTCCACTTGCTTTCCTTCTCCGGCCACCGTCATTGGCACCCACCATCACGACCATCCTCGTTGGTCGCCTCCCTAGTCTCCGTCTCCTCTTCTTGTTTCTCTCTCTCTCCCCCTTCTTTTTCTCTACCTCTCTGAAAACCCTAACCCTAGATCTAGGGCTTTCAGAGAGCGGTGGCAGTAGGTCACAATTTCGTGGCAAATGTGAGAGGTGATGGCAACGGCAATGGGTTGCAATTTGGCGACAGTGGTGGATCGATCAAAAATTTTGGAAGAAGAAGAAGAATGAGAAAAAGGGAATAAAGATGAGAGAAGGGCAACAATGGATAGTGGGCGGTAATGGCAGTGGCGGTGGGTGGTGGGCGGTGATGTGGGTTTGCGATAATGGTATATCTAGATCTAGGGTTAGGGTTTCGAGAGAAAAAGAAGAAGAAGACAAAAAAGACGATGATGGGGAGAATGTTAGGGTTTCTAGAACTAGGGTTAGGGTTTCGACGGTGGTCATATACACTGCCTCTTAATTTGATGAAATATCAACAGAATCCTGACATGCTACCACTTCTTTTCTTTTCTTTTTTCGCAATGGATTTCTCTTTTACTGGTTTAAAGATAAAATATGAAGATAAAATATGAACATTTGATGGAATAACAACTAGGGTTGATAGGCTATGCCACAAGACAAAAGTTTTATTGATTGTCAACTACGAATAACAAGTATGGTCAATAAAAAATTTTGAGACAAAAGTTCCATTGATTATTGGTGGAAAGGTCATGCTATGATGTGATGACAGTTTTTTTTTTCAGTTTTTGTTTTGTTTCTTTACTATTTATTTTTTTGTGGAATTTTTTCCCTTGCTTTTTATTTGTAGGATTATGATTCCTCTTATATTGAATTGAGTTGGGTTGTCATGTGAATTTACTTGGATTTGTAGGATGGCAAGATGGTGTAGGAAATGTGTATATTTAAAACCAAAATTGGAAAAATTGGCATCTGAGGTTAGATTGAATTTTTGTTTATAACCATCCGAGATCTAATTTTTTTGTGTTGGTTATCAAAAACTTGTGTGAGCTTTATGCAAGAAAGTGTGTTATTACTTTCCTTTTGAGTCTTTCTATTTAAGTAGTTGTAATGTATCAGTACTTTACCTGTAGGGGTGATGAAAAGGTAGTTTATCTCTGGAACTGCCATGTGCATTCTTTCTCTTAGCATATTTAATTCTTCCATTAAGATTTTGATGTATAGCATTAAAATTTTTCTGGTGACCCCATAATTGTTAACGAAAAATGCTTTAGACCCCCATTTTTTGGAGACCCTCACAACCCCTTTTGGATCTCCACCATTGATGTATAAGTGGGACCCACTCGTGTATGTGTGGGACCCACACCATCAATGGTGGAGATCTAAAGGGGGTTGTAGGGGTCTCCAAAAAATAGGGTCTCAATCATTGTTGAATTATTAACCATTATATAGTATGTGTTAAGGTAGGATACAATTCTATTGTCTAGATGTGAATAATGTTCCACAAAAGCCTGTGGTTAGTGCAGTAGTCACTGTAAGTCACTCAACTTTACAAATAATTTACATGCTATTGGTTTTTGTTTTGCCTCATTATTTCATGTTATTACCTGTGCTCATTTGTATTAGGAAATAGAAATAGATAAGCTATTGTTCTCTTCTAAGGTGCATGTTGAGTATTAATAACAAATTGTAACAATAATAAACAGTCCATGAACTAAAACTATGTGTTGGGTTGCAGATATATGGTCATTCAAATGTCTCATAATACATAATATTTACTTTTCAACTGAAAGTTCAATGTTACATAGATTTGAGTACAAGTATCAGGTGTAGGTATATGTCCAAATATCATACCTTCATAAACTTAAATAAATTTTAAAATATTGGGATATGTATCCAAAAATTGGATATGGGTATTGTAGACACCCCATTTTTGATCGACCTTAAGACTCAGACGTCACCAATTGAGCGCTCGGTGATGATGAATATGGTGCTCGCTCTGAGGTTACGGAGTGTCGACTGCGAGCCTTGCCTCCGGACTTCGGGGCTCTTTTGTGCTTTGCCTTGGTTTGCGAACCAGGTCCTGTTTTCTCTGTCTTCTCTTCTCAAAGGGAGGGAGAGGTCTCGTAGACCATCTCTCAGTGGCCGTAGGCTACGTTTCGCGGCCGTAGGCCAGTTTTTCCGTTTGGAGCCCAGTTTTCGGTTTTCGGAGCCGTCGGCCGTGTGCCTCGGTTCGGGACCGCTTAACCACCTCCGTTTGCTCTGGTTTTTGGCACACACCTTGTTTACTCCCTTTTGGGGGACACTGTGGCTCGAGAGACCAACTTCGTGGTTGAATGCCACCTTCGGTGTTTAACAGCCCATTTTCGGGGCCCTAGGCCGCGCGTTTCGGTCCCCGAACCTCCGTTTTGCATCCGTTTTGGTTCATGTTTGGTGGAGACCTTATTTTCATTGTTAGAAAGCTTGTAGAAGGGTGGGAGGCCAGCAATTTTTCTGAAAAGCCAGTTTTATTTCTTCATCGCTATCCGTCGCCCGTTTTCCTCACTAGAAAGCTAATGTTGACCACTCCCGGGCCACTTTCTTTAGCCCTAAACCCCATATTTGTGTTGTACACACCTGGGAGGCCACCAATATGAATAGGCCGGCCAGTAATTGTCTCTGACCCTTTTGAACCCCTCTAAAAAGTTGGCTTTTCTCTCTCCTAGTTCACATTTTCTGGGTTTTGACCACATATTTGTGTTATGCACACATGGGAGGCCACCTTTTTGGGGTGGCCGGCCAGTAATCTTGTCTGACCCTTTTGACCCCTGGTCGACCGACCATGGGGGTGGCCGGCCGGCCCCCTGAACCTTTTGAACCTGGTCAGCCATGATCCTCTCTCCAAGTGTATTCCAGCTGTGCCAGCTGTTTCCCCCCAGATCTTGTATCCGAGGGGCTGCCTTTTGGGGGGGAAATTTGAATTTGTTTTTCCCCCATTTCCTTGGCCTCTCTCCCTCTTTAAAACCAGCACTCTACCACCATTTTGAGGGGTTAGAAAATCAGCTAAGGCACCATTATAGATACAACTTTCTCTCTCTCTCATCCAAGCCTCTAAACACCTTGGTTCTTCACCATTTACACACCAACCCATAACATAACACCTCCATCACTCATTCCAGCATCTCGGAGGACATTTGAAGAGGTTGAAAGTTCAGAAAGTTGGTCCAAAAGCTGCTGATTTACTGCTCTTCAAGAGTAAGCACCTATTTCCCTTAAACTTGCATTCTTTTGCTTCATTTATAAGCCATACTTGAAAGCATTTTTGGGCTCCGACCCAAACTAGAAATAGTCTTTTTTTGAGTTCATATTCATGTTTGATCAAGGATTTTTCTCTGTTTGAAGCCACCTGCTACCCCCTTCCCTTTATCTCTCTTTTAGGGCTATTTCTTACATGATATGTTAGCCCTGTTTTTAAGCATTTCTGGGCTTCGAGCTAAACTGTAAAGTGCTTTATTTTGAGCCCCTCTTCAACCTTGTTGAAGGGATCTTCACTGTTTTAGGCCAGTTACTGCCTCTTGCTCTCTATCTCTCTTTTAAGGCCATTTTTGCATCATATTTTAGCCTTACTTGTGAGCATATTTGAGATTTTCCATAAACTGTAAAGTATCTTGTTTTGAGCTCTTATTCAACTTTGTTGAAGGGATATTTCTTGTTTGAAATCATTTACCACCTTGTTTGCTCATTCTCTCTTTTAGGGCTGTTTTTGCATGATATATTAGCCTTGTTTGTGAGCCTTTTCGGACCTCGACCTAAACTGAAAAAAGT